AAAAAAGAAGAAACATCAACAGCCAAAACCTCAAACGTTGACCCACATCCGCCGCCACGACGGGAAAAACTTAATGAGGCTCTGACGTGGGGGGGGGGGGGGGGGGAGCTAATTAGAAGCCGGCACTCAATGAGGGCTTCATAAGGGGATCATGGAGCAACTGGGGACCCAAATGGCTCTGGGATCCTAAAGCCTGACAGTGCCAAGCTGCAGGTGCCCCTGTGCTGATAAAGAGACGCAGGCTGTTATCAGCGCCCAAACCCCAAAACAGGGGGCTGAGGGGGGACCTGGATCAGCAGCAGGGGGGTGAAGATGTGCCGGCAGAGCACAGGGTCGGTCCCCAAAATCCTTTTTTTCCAGCGCGATCCGCGTGGCGGCGTCTCCACATCCTCACCTTGCGGCATCCTTCTGCAGGCCTGGGCTGAGGGAACCTGGCGACGCAGGGACGGAAGGACAGAAGGACGGGGACAGAGATGGGGACGCTCACCTCTAATCTGGACGATACTGTAGACCTACGGACCACCAAACCCGATGGGATGGAGGGCAGCGAAGGACGGAGGGGGCCGAGGAAGAGCGTTGGGATGAAGATGGCTTTAACCCTTTCCTCCCCGGCTCCGCGTCGGTGGCTTTTCTCACCCAGCAGAGGAGCGGCTGTGGGGTGACCCCGTCCCAGTTCTATCGAAGCCACGATCCCTTCAAAAAAGGCAACGAGTCGACGCTGTGGGATCGCTCTCCTGGAATGGTGCTGCCCAGAGGAGGGATATTTTTAGCCCTGGATTGTTTGTGGATGGAGCCCTGATTTAACCGTTGCTTTGTCCCACCCCGCTGTGCCCTTTTCCAGGTGTTTCCAAGCCCCTTTTCCATCCCCTCCGCCCTCGGATCGATGGGTTCAGCTCTGCAGAGGGCAGCGAATGCCTCTGCCCGCCTCACATCCTTCCTCTGGCTTTTCTCCAGGCCCAGAGCACGAAGCAATCTCCTCCCGTTCGACTCCAAACCGACTCTCAGAGCTTTCAACCCTTGGGTCCCATCCAGCGTTCCTCCATCCCCCACCCCGCTTTGGGGTGACCCAGGGATTTCGGGGCACGGGGGGCATCGTGGCCTCCCCGGATCCCATCCCAACATCATCACCACCAATCCCCGCTCCCCCCCTCGCTCCCACCCCCATAATTTCCCCCAACCCACCCCCCCAATGACTTGGCATCCCCGGATCCCATTGGGTTGTTGGGATGGATGGAAGCTGGGCCGCGTTTCCCAGTCAAAGCCTGGCGAGGAGCAGCGTGGAGGCGACCCACAGAGTAGCAGTTAATTGCTGACAGCACTAACGAGGTCCTCCCCCAGCTGTGGGTCTATGGGGCAGAACAGTGCAGGGTGCAATGGGGGCAACCCGTTGTTCCCCATTGAGATGGACCCCGAATCAAGCAGGAGCATCCCCACTGCATCCCCACTGCATCCCCACTGCATCCCCACTGCATCCCCACCTGCATCCCCACCTGCATCCCCACTGCATCCCCACTGCATCCCTACTGCATCCCTACTGCATCCCCACTGCATCCCCACCTGCATCCCCACCTGCATCCCCAACTGCATCCCCACCTGCATCCCCACTGCATCCCTACTGCATCCCCACTGCATCCCCACTGCATCCCATTGCATCCCCACTGCATCCCCACTTGCATCTCCACCTGCATCCCCACTGCATCCCCATCTGCATCCCCACTGCATCCCCACTGCATCCCCACTGCATCCCCACTTGCATCCCCACTGCATCCCCACTGCATCCCCACTGCATCCCCACCTGCATCCCCATTGCATCCCCATCTGCATCCCCACTGCATCCCCACTGCATCCCCACTGCATCCCCACCTGCATCCCCACTGCATCCCCCCTGCATCCCCACTGCATCCCACTGCATCCCCACCTGCATCCCCACTGCATCCCCACTGCATCCCCCCTGCATCCCCACTGCATCCCCACTGCATCCCCACTGCATCCCCACTGCATCCCCACCTGCATCCCACTGCATCCCCACTGCATCCCACTGCATCCCCACCTGCATCCCCACTGCATCCCCACCTGCATCCCCACCTGCATCCCACTGCATCCCCACTGCATCCCCACTGCATTCCCACCTGCATCCCCACTGCATCCCCACTGCATCCCCACCTGCATCCCCACTGCATCCCACTGCATCCCCATCTGCATCCCCACTGCATCCCACTGCATCCCCACCTGCATCCCCACCTGCATCCCCACTGCATCCCCACTGCATCCCCACCTGCATCCCCACTGCATCCCCATTGCATCCCCACTACATCCCCACCTGCATCCCCACTGCATCCCCACTGCATCCCCACTGCATCCCCACCTGCATCCCTACCTGCATCCCCATTGCATCCCCACTACATCCCCACCTGCATCCCCACTGCATCTCCACTGCATCCCCACTGCATCCCCACTGCATCCCCACTGCATCCCACTGCATCCCCACTGCATCCCCACCTGCATCCCCCCTGCATCCCCCCTACATCCCCACTGCATCCCCACTGCATCCCCCCTGCATCCCCACCTGCATCCCCTCAGCCTGGAAGGTTGGGATCCAGGATTTGGGGTCTTTGGGATCGCCGTGCTTTGGGCTTTGTGTCCCTCGTTCGAGGCTCTCCGTTGCCCCATAACATCTGGGGCAGCGCCGTGGGGATGCAGCACTGACCCCCAGGATGGGGCACAGCCCTCTCAGGGTCACCAACCCCACTGCAGCATCACAGGGATGGGGGAGCTGAGGGCACACGAGTGCTTTGGGCATCAATAATTCACTCTGCGTGACATCAGAGAGCGACCCGAAGGAAATGGGGGGGGGGCTCACGCGGATTTGGGCAACTCCTCCTGGTGGATTTTTCCCCCACCTTGTCTTCTGGTGAGGATGGAGAACACGACCCATCAGACAAAGGGATGCCAGCATCGCCTCCCCCCCAGACCCACAGCATCCATCCCACTGCCATCCCCCCCGTCCCCCCCCCCGAGTCACACAGTGCACCTTGGGGACGCACCCCACCTCTGCTCCATCACCCGTTCAAACCAGGGGGGGACACGGAGAGCCCAGCCCAGCACCCGGCGGGGCGGGGGGGGATTAAGCAGCCCCACAACCCCCCCCACTTTCCTGACCTACTTAAGCAGATTCCTGCTGCCGGAGTCATGAATAAGTGATGGCAGCTCCGTGACAGACCAGGCAGATGCAGCACTGCCCCACTGCATCCCCACCTGCATCCCCACTGCATCCCCACTGCATCCCCACTGCATCCCCACCTGCATCCCCATTGCATCCCCACCTGCATCCCCATTGCATCCCCACTGCATCCCCACTGCATCCCCACTGCATCCCCATTGCATCCCCACCTGCATCCTCATTGCATCCCCACTGCATCCCCACTGCATCCCCACTCCATCCCCACTGCATCCCCATTGCATCCCCATTGCATCCCCATTGCATCCCCACTGCATCCCCACCTGCATCCCCACTGCATCCCCACTGCATCCCCACTGCATCCCCATTGCATCCCCACTGCATCCCCACTGCATCCCCACTGCATCCCCTCAGCCTGGAAGGTTGGGATCCAGGATTTGGGGTCTTTGGGATCGCCGTGTTTTGGGGTTTGTGCCCCTCGTTTGAGGCTCTCCGTTGCCCCACAGTAGGTGGGAATGGGATTCCCCACATGGGGATGTGATGGTGGAAGGAACGTAGCTGGGCTACTTGGAGGGGGGGGACCTGGGTGGCTTTGGGGCAGGAGCCAGATGGCCATCGGGTCATGGGGGCACTGAGGGTGGTGGAAGACCAAAATGTAGCAGTTCAGCCCCATGCAGGGAAAGGGGACGGTGGGCAGGGGGTGGGGGGCTGAACAGGGGTGGGACAGGGGACAAGGGATTGGGGACAGGGAGTAGAGAACAAGGGACGTGGGATAGGGGCAAGAAATGGGGAACGGGGGACAGGGAAGAGGGAGTGGGGACAAGAGATGGGGGAAAAGAGGGGAAAAAGGGCAGGGAAAAAGGGATGGGGAACAGTGGATGGACAGGGGGCAAGGAGGAAGGAATGGGGAGAGGAGATACGGGAAAAGGGCCCCACAGACCCCACCAGAATCCAGGGACGGATGATGCGGAGCAAAGGACACCTGAGTGCATCCCTGTGCCCACCCTGGGGGTCACAGCTTCCATTCGGGGGGGGGGGGGGTGCAGAGTTCTATGGGGTCCTATGGCAGCAGAGGGGCTGGCAGCGCCCTTATGGGGACACAGAGTGGATGAATGGGGGGGGGGTTGGAGGGGCGGAGTTGGGTTTTAATTAGGATGTGCTGAGGGAGGGGGGGCGGCTCGTTCTTTCTCACCAGCTCCAGACTAATCCTCCCCAACGCCCAACAGCAGCAGCTGCCGGGCTGGAGGTCAGAGCTGGGGGTCACCGCGTCCCCTGTGGGATGGGGGGCACACGGAAATGCTTCCCCACCCCCCCTTTTACCCCCGGGGTGGAGGGGCTGCAGTATGGCAGCCTCCAAGCCCACGTTATGGGGGGCACCGGGGGTCTCCATCCTTGAACTGTCCGTCCGCTTTTGTAGGGCTGTATCCGGGGAGAGCCGCCAATCTCCGGCCCGTCCACCACCACGGGGATGGGGGGGGGGGGGGGGGGGATGGGGACGACGACACCTCGCCCCACATCGCCCTACAAGTCATGGGGCCGCCGCTGTGGGTCGCCGTGCCCTGCGGGGGAACGGAGGGGGGGGGGGGGGGGAGGAGCGGTGCGGGCGATCGATGCGGAGAAGGGGAATTTGCACCGAGGGCAGCGGTGCCGGCAGCAGCACGTGCGGACTTTGCACGCGCATTGCCCACGTGTGTGCAACGTGTCCGTGTGTCTGTAACGTGTCCGTGTGTCTGTCCGTCCCTACGTCCCGTGCTCAGGGGTCCCGCTCCACGTGGCCGTGCGTCCTGGCGCTGTGCGTCCTCTTGTTTGTGTGTCCCCCCCCGCCACCCCCTTCCCCGTGCTCCCACCCCTTCGGGTCACCCCGTCCGTGTGTCCGTCCCGGAGTCCGTTTGTCTGCCTTTGTGTCCTTGTGTCTGTCCATGTGTCCATCCCTGTGTCCCGTGTGCCTGTCTGTCCCTCAGTCTGTCCTCCTGTCTGTCTTTTTGCCTCCTTTTCTGCCCTCCTGCCCGCATGGCCGCCCTGCTGTCCGTGTGTCCGCCCTTCTAGCCGTGTGTCCGTCCTTCTGTCCGTACGCCTGCCCTTCTGCCCATCCATCCATCCATCCATCCACCCGTCCGTCCGTCCGTCCGTCCATCCTTCCGCCCGTGCGTCCGTCCTTCTGTCCACGTGTCCGTTCCCTCTCTCCGCTCTCCTCTCCACCTGCCCATCCCCGCCGCTCTCCCCGTCCGTCCGTCCGTCCGTCCGCCCCGTTCCCCTCCCGGGGCCTCTTCCAACCAATGGGGCCGCGCTGTGGGGCGGAGCGGTGCGGCGTTCGGGACCGGGAGCGGCGGCGGCGGAGGAGCGGAGCAGAACCGGGGCGGGGCGGGGCGGGGCGGCACCGGGAGCCGCCGGTGAGCACCGGGTAACGGCACCGGAGGAGCTGCCCGCCATGGAACCCAACGGGCCCCGTAAAATCCAATTCACCGTACCGCTGCTGGAGCCGCACCTCGACCCGGAGGCGGCGGAGCAGGTGGGGAGAGCGGGAGGGGAGAGGAGGAGGAGGAGGAGGAAGAGAGGGGGGAGGCTGAGGCTGCTCTGCAGACCCCCAAGGGACAACGAGGGGAGGAAAGAAGGGGGGGTTCTTGCAATAGGGGGTCTTTGCCCCCCCTCAAGGGGCAACCGCACGGGTATGGATGGGGTGAGCCGCCCCCTAACCCCCCTCTATAATCCGTACATCCCGGGGTCTGTGGGGTGGGGACCACTCTGTGACAGCCCCCCCCCGGTGCCGTGCGGCTCTGCTTGGGGTCCCCGCACCGTTTTGGGGGGTGCAAGGGGTTTGGGGGGGTGCGGTGATCCCAATACCGACATAGGGACCACGGGGGGGGGGGGGGGGGGGGGGTTGGGGGTCAGCACTGGGGATCCCTCCGCTGCCCCGTGGGGTGGCTATGGGGCACGGGCTCTGTGTTGGCCTTTGGGTTGCCGGGGGGGGGAAGGGGGGGGGGAGTGTAGGTTTACCCGGACCCCACGGCCCTACAACCAGCCCCGTGTTGCTCAATCCCTGGAGGGGATCCAGGAGAAGGGGGGGGTGGCTGTAGGGCGGTGTCCCCCCCCCCCCCCCCCCATCCCCCCTCCCCTTCCCTGCCCTCTGGCTCTATAGGGTGACACGGGGGGGGGGGGGGGGGGGAACAGACACGGGTTGGCCGGCAGCACCCCACAGCTGGCAGCACCCAAATTCGGGTTCTGAAGGCATTGCCAAACCCTTTTGGCTCAGCGCGAGGCCCCAGAATAGCAGCAGGTATTGCATGTCCCAGAGCTGGCAACGTGGGTGAAACACCCCCCCCCGACCCCCCCCTGCCCCCCCAGTCCCCCAAACAAACTCACCTCCAGCACCCTACGGCCCTCAGGAGTTCCTCCAGCCCCAAATCCTATGGGTTGAGATTTGAGGGTCCCGATTTGAGGTCGGGCTGGGAGTCCTTAAGGCAAAGGATTGGGGGGGGACCATGGATGGGGTTGGGGGGGGGACCATGGATGGGGTTGGGGGGGGGACCATGGATGGGGTTGGGGGGGGACCATGGAAAGGGGTGAGGGGGGACCATGGAAAGGGTTTGGGGGGGGACCATGGATGGGGTTGGAGGACCATAGAAAGGGTTTGGGGGACCATGGAAAGGGGTGGGGGGGGACCATAGAAAGGGTTGGGGGGGCCATGGAAAGGGTTGGGGGGACCATAGAAAGGGTTGGGGGGGACCATGGATGGGGTTGGGGGGAGCCATGGAAAGGGGTGGGGGGGCCATGGAAAGGGTCATGCCCTCAGCATCTGGGTTTGAGGAGCTCTGTGAGGCAGCTGGAATAAATAGAGGGGGTCCCCACCTCTCCCCTCCCCAGATAAATGGGGTCCTGCTGACCCCCGGGGTGCTGCCCCCCCCCCACCCCCCTACCCTCCCACCCAAGGGGGGGTACAGCGTTGTGGGGCTGAGCTCTGTGGGGAGCATCTCGCTGTGGTTAAATATGGCCAAGCACCATCTGGGGTGGGGGGGGGGGGGCTCAGAGAAGGGGCCCCCAAACCCACCTTAGGTTGAGGGGCACAATGGGATGGGGGGGGGCTGGGGGGTCCCGTGCCCATCCCTGCCTCAATTTACCCCCCCCCCCCCCCCAAGCTGCGTTTGGCTGCGTCCCATTGGACCCTATTTGAATCCAAAATTGACCTCAGCCCCCCCCCCTTGCACCCATTGCCCCCCAATGCCCCCCCCCGATGCCCCCAATGCCCCCATCCTGGTGCAGGGGGGCAGGGATGGGGATCACAGCTCCGCTGCTCGGGGTGCCAACATCCCCAGGTGGGGAACCCTCACAACCCCATCCTTCGTTCTCCACCGTGGGGACCCGTGGTTTTTAGGGGTGGTTGAGGGCTCACCTCCCCCCCCTTCCCCATTTTCCCGACCCCTTTGATGAGTTTCCCTTTAATTCGGAACGCTCCCTTCGCTCGTTAGGCCACAGCTTTTAAACAGGGGAACCCAAGGAAGGTATCCTCACCCCCCGGCGGGTGCAGGAGGATAAAAGTCTTCCATGGTGGAGGAAATGATGGAGGGAAACGAGAGCCTTCGCCCCATAAAGCTGGGGTGGGAAGTTTGTGGGGCCGTCCCTCGCGGGTTCCTTTCGCTCAACTCAACTCAGCCGATGTCTGAAGTCCCCCGTTGGTTTGGCATCAACCTCCACGTCCACCTTCCTCTTCGGGGGGTGTCCCCCCCCCCCCCCCCTCCATGTGGAATGGGGTTTTAATGCCGTGTTCTCCCTCAATTGGGGGGGGGGGGCTGTGGGGAGGATGTGGGGCTGCCCTCCTCTGGGTGCCCCCCGTGCCCTGCAGGGCTGGCCCTGCGCTTTGCTCTGTCATGCTCAGGGCTGGGCTGCATCCACCCAGCTGCTCCCAAATCCCATTCGGTTTCCAGCTCCTTTCTGCTCCTCGATCCCCCCCCCCCCTCTTCTTTGCCCCCCCCCCCTACATCAGCCCTATAGGATGGGAAGGATGGAAAGGGGACCCCCAGCCCCACTGAGCCCCGCAGGGCTGCCGTCCCCATGGTGGGATGATGCTGCTGGGCTGCTGCAGCTCTGAATCGATGCTCTAAAAATAGGCTGGGGAGGAGAACGGAGAGGTGGGGGATCCCAGCATCTCCTGTGGGGCCGGGGGATGGGGCGTCCTATAGGGCTGGGACCTGAGCGACCCTCTGTGGGGTCAGGGAATGGAGCGTCTTATAGGGCTGAGGATCTGAGCATCCCTGCGTGGGGCTGGGGAGTGGAGTGTCTGTCTATGGGGTCAGGGAATGGAGTCCTATAGGGCTGGGACCTGAGCGACCCTCTGTGGGGCTGGAGAATGGAGCATCCTTCTGTGGGGTCAGGGAATGGAGAGTCCTATAGGGCTGGGACACCAATGTCCTTCTGTGGGGCTGGGGAGTGGAGTGTCTGTCTATGGGGTCAGGGAATGGAGCACCCCATAAGGCTGAAGACCTGAGCATCCATCTTTGGGGCTGGGAAACAAAGCGTCCCTCCGTGGGGTCAGGGAATGAAGCGTCCCATAGGGCTGGGACCTGAGCGTCCTTCTGTGGGGCTGGGGAATGGAGCGTCCCATAGGGCTGGGGACGAAAGCATCCCTCTAGTGTCAGGGAATGGAGCGTCCTATGGGGCTGAGGACCTGAGCATCCCTCTGTGGGGCTGGGGAACGGGGTGTGGGGTCAGGGAATGGAGCATCCTATAGGGCTGGGGAGCAGAGACCCCTCCAGGACTGGGGACTGGAGCACCGCAGGGTGCTGGGATGGGGAGGGCTGTGAGTCCATCCCTGAGCAGGGATCGGGGTGCAGCCGCTCTGTGGTTCTCAGGTGCATCCGTGTGACCTTGAGGGGGTCGCCCCTCTGTCCCCTGCCCTGTCCTGGGGGTGACAGTGGCTCCGTCCCCTTGGGGGGCATTCGGGGCGCTCCAGCAGCCCGGGGTTGCCTTGGGATCGCTCTTATGGGATCCCATGACCCAGATCCAGCCCTGAGATCCCAACCCATCGCTGTCACCCCGAGCCTTGGGGCGGAGGAGGTGACGATGGGGGGTAGGGGGGGGGAGAGGTGACAAAGGGCCGGCGATGGGGCCGTGGGCCGGGAGCGGTGGGTGATGGGGAGGGGGCGAATTCGGTCTCCCTTTTAATCTCCGTTTAAAATCCAGATCGCGGGTTTCTATGGCAACCGGGAGGATGCGGGGAGGAGGGGGGGGGGGGGATTGAAGCGGCGGTGGGGCCGCAGGGTGGGCTGGGGCCGGGGCTGGGGCTGGGGAGGGGGCTTCCGTCGCTGCCGGTTCGTTAGCATCTCATCAGCATCTCATTAAGGCAGCGGGGCTCATTAGGGAATCCTCTCCGGGAAATTCGGTGCTACTCAGTCAGTGGGTCAGCGGGGAAGCAGGGCGAGCAGCAGCGGGACGCGGTGCCGCTGCACGGCACAGGGTGACAGGGCCACCAAACCCCCTCTGAAGGGTCACCAAGCCCCCCAGCGGGACAAGCAGAGGGGCACACGCCGATCCGCGGGGCGGGATGCTGCCGGTGACCTTGGGCAAGGACACGGTGACGAGCGCTGTCCCCGAGGAAGGGCAGAGCCCAGGCGCTGTCACGGCCTCTCTGTCCCCACGCTCTTCCCGGCACGGCGGTATAATTAGCTGCCGTTTGTCGTTAAGGAGATGTTGATATAAAAGCCACCTGCGTCCCTCAGCCGCCGGGCAGGGCAGCGTCCCCGAGGAGCCACCGCCTCCCGTTTGGGGACAAGGACACGAGCGGGCGACGCCGCGGTGCCGGTGGGGGATGTGGGTCGGGCTGGAGTTTGGGGCGTTCCCGACATTTGTCCCTTCTTTTACAGATCCGTCGACGCCGACCGACGCCGGCCAGCCTGGTGCTGAGCAGCGACCAATCGTCCCCAGGTGGGTCCCCGTTTGTGTCGCGGTGTCACCCAGGGGTTTTCGGGTGGCACAATGGAGGCTCACCGCGGGGACAGCGGTGGCCGTGCGCCGCGTTGCGCTCCGTGTTTCAGCCCATCCATCTCCAGGGGAAGCAGCTGCTGGTGATGCCCGTCTCCCCCCCCCCTCTGTGCCCTCCCCGGGATGCCCGGCACGTCCCTGGGGTTGGGTCATGGAGGGGGGGGAGGCGGAGCAGAGGTGATATTTGAGAGCTTCGCTGCCCTCCTCCCCCCTCCTGGCCTTTGGGGACGGGATGTGACCCTGCCGGCTTCCTGCCCCGTCCGTCTCCTCTCCTGGGGTGCCTCAATCTCTCTTGTTTTTGAGGTGGCTGGGACACTGCGTTCCCAAATGCTGTCCCTGGGTATTTGAGGCTACTTTCGTCACGGCACCGGGACAACCAAAACAGGGTCAGGATGCAGCCCCTGCCAGCCCGATTTCACAGCATGGGGGGCGGCTGTGGGACCCCCACCCCTGACGTGTCACCTTCAGAGGGATGGGGCTGAGGTGTCGGTTGTCGCTGTGCTTTGTCCCTGATGCTGAGTGGGTCCCGGAGCAGCGCTGTCCCCATCCCCATACGTCCCCATGTGGGCGCTCCGGGGGTCACCAAGCACCCATGGGTGCCACCACCCCTAACCACCCGCTCCTTCTGTCCCTATGCCGTCCCCCAGAGATCGATGAGGACCGACTCCCCAACGCCCTGCTGAAGGTAGGCGATGACCTGAGGTGTCCCCAGCACCCCGAGGTGTCCCCCCATCGCATCACCTCCCCCTCCTCCTCCTCTGCTTGCTTTGCAGTCGGGTCTGGCCATGTCCCCCCGGCAGAGGAAGAAGGTGTACTGCACCACCCCCACCGTGAAAGGTACCTGAGGTGACATCAGGTGACATCTCCCCGGGCGCCACGGGGGACGCGTGGGTGACCAAGTTGTGATGCCACCTCCTCGGTGGCACAGAGGATCCCAAGGGGGCAGGAGCACACAGCTGGGGACAGGGGGATGCAGGGCCACGGCGCTCAGGTGCCACCAATGGGGACAGGTGGCTGCCCAGCTCGCCGGGTGGGGGACAGAGAGGGGACATCATGAGGGCTCGGGGACACAGGCACGCTCCCTGCCTCGCAGAGCTGCAGATGATGGTGGAGCATCACCTGTGCAAGCAGGCGCGGGGCGAGGAGGACGAGGAGGCGGCTGCTGGAGGCCAGGAGCGCAGCCCAGGCTGCTGCCACCGCGGTGACACCGAGCACAGCCACAGCCCTGGGGGCAGCTGCCCGCTGGCCCAGGCTCAGCCAACACAGCAGGGCGGCCCAGGCCCCGGTGACAGTGAGTGGCCTGGGGCTGAAGGGGGGGTGGGGGGTCGGGGTCTGCGCTCAGCCAACCCCAATTTGCGCCGCAGGGACCCACGGGGGAGAGCGGCGAAGTCCGGGTGATGAGGGCACTCATATAGCACCGGGGGGAAAGGGAGCTGCTGGCGGCCTGTAGGTACGTCTGGGGGGCTGGGGGGCGTACGGGGAGGTGGGCTGCATACTGGGACACTTGGGGACATACTGGGATGCTGTGAGCACATACTGGGGTGCCCTGGGTGCATAGTGGAACACGGGTAGCATGCTGGGGGGCTGGGAGGTGAGCATACTGGGATGTGGGTTGTGTACTGGGACACTTGGGGACATACTGGGATGCTCTGGGTGCACACTGGGACACTTGGGGACATACTGGGATGCTGTGAGCACATACTGGGGTGCTCTGGGTGCACACTGGGACACTTGGGGACATACTGGGACACTCTGGGTGCACACTGGGACACTTGGGGACATACTGGGACACTTGGGGACATACTGGGATGCTCTGGGTGCACACTGGAACACTTGGGGACATACTGGGACATTTGGGGACATACTGGGACATTCTGGGTGCACACTGGGACACTTGGGATCATACTGGGATGCTGTGAGCACATACTGGGGTGCTCTGGGTGCATAGTGGGACACAGGTAGCATGCTGGGGGGCTGGGAGGTGTGCATACTGGGATGTGGGTTGTGTACTGGGACACTTGGGGACATACTGGGACATTTGGGGACATACTGGGACGCTCTGGGTGCACACTGGGACACTTGGGGACATACTGGGACATTTGGGGACATACTGGGACATTTGGGGACATAGTGGGACATTCTGGGTGCACACTGGGACACTTGGGGACATACTGGGATGCTGTGAGCACATACTGGGGTGCTCTGGGTGCATAGTGGGACACAGGTAGCATGCTGGGGGGCTGGGAGGTGGGCATACTGGGATGTGGGTTGTGTACTGGGACACTTGGGGACATACTGGGACACTTGGGGACATACTGGGATGCTCTGGATGCACACTGGGACACTTGGGGACATACTGGGACATTTGGGGACATACTGGGATGCTCTGGATGCACACTGGGACGCTTGGGGACATAGTGGGACTCTGGGGTTGCAGACTGGGGTGCTGTGTATCCGCACTGGGGACGCCGTGGGGGCACTGATCCAGTGCCCAGGGGCAGCGCGGCAGTTGGAGGTGACAGCAGACAGGGAAGTGGCTGCACGCCCCCCCCCACGACCCCCCCACGTCCCTCCGTCCCTCCGTCCCCAGGTGCTGCTGTCCCCGTTGGAGCCGAAGCGCCGCCTGCTTTTTTTCTATCAATCATTTTCTAAGATTCCGACGGCGTTCGTGACGGATTTTTTTTATCTCCCCCCTCCTCACCCCCCCCTTTTCCCACCCCCCTCTTCTATGGGGACAAAACCCCCCTCTGTGTCCCCACTGCCACCACCGGGGTGACCCCAGGACCCCCCCCCCCCCGGTCCCCTCGCGCTCCATTTTGGGGGCACAGCTCCTCGTTGAGGGGAGGGAGGACGATGGCACACCGGTGCTGCACTGCGCACACAGCCGCCGCGGGCACGAATGGACACACGTGAACACGCGTGAACACACACACACACACACACGTGAACCCACGCGCACACGCGAGTGCACGCAGAGCTGAGCCACACTGCTATTAAATGGATCCTTTCCACAGCGTCTCCTCCTTGCTCAGCACGGAAAGCTCAGGACCCCCCCCAAATTCCATCCCTGATCCCCAACGCTTGAGCACGGCTCCCCTCACTGCTCAGAGCTCGGGCTGGCGGTGGCGTACGGTTTATTAATTGCTCGTTAGCAGCTGCTCTTGATTTCACATGCGTGTGCGGGCGGGCGCGAGGCGGAGCTGTGCCAGCAGTGATGGAGGCACGACGTGACCGCATGGTAGAAAAGTACAAAGACACACAGCTGTGTGCTGGGCTATGTACAGGGCCGGGCCGGAGCCGTGGGGAGATCCAGGCACCACAGAAGGGGGAAGGACGACGGAGCTGGAAGATGCTCCGGGTTGTTGGAGATTTTGGGGGTGCTGGGGTAAAATGGAGCTGAAGGGGGTGCGGGGGGGGGCTGGAGAGCTCCAGTTTGGGGTTCTGGAGGAGGTCGGAGACAGGATGCTGGAGATGCTGGAGGGCATCGGTTTGGGGTTCTGGAGCACTTTGGAGCCAAGATGCTGGAGATTCTCGAGCACAGTGGAGCCAGGATGCTGGAGATGCTGGAGGGCATCGGTTTGGGGTTCTGGAGCACTTTGGAGCCAGGATGCTGGAGATTCTCAAGCACACTGGAGCCAGGATGCTGGAGGTGCTGGAGTGCTCCAAGTCGGGTTCTGGAGGGCACCAGTTTGGGGTTCTGGAGCACTTTGGAGCCGGGATGCTGGAGATTCTCGAGCACAGTGGAGCCAGGATGCTGGAGATGCTGGAATGCTTCAAGTCGGGTTCTGGAGGGCATCGGTTTGGGGTTCTGGAGCACTTTGGAGCCAGGATGCTGGAGATTCTCGAGCACTTTGGAGCCAGGATGCTGGAGATGCTGCAGCACTCCAAGTCAGGTTCTGGAGGGCACCAGTTTGGGGTTCTGGAGCACTTTGGAGCCAGGATGCTGGAGATTCTCGAGCACAGTGGAACCCAGATGCAGAGGATGCTCGAGCACGCCAGAGCTTGGGAAGCTGGAGGATGCTGAAGCACGCCGGTGCCAGGATGCCGGAGGGAGCGGGGTCTCCTGGGGGTGTTTTGGAGCAGGGTTGGGGGACTGGAAATCCACCAGGGGCAGCAGTGCATGCGGCACACTGCAGCCATAGGGGCTGTAGGCACAGAACTGGGGGTGCTGGAAGAACCTCAGGGCCACTGTGGGTACCAACTTTGTCCCCCCCCTCGGCTGGCCCCAGCTCCCTGGCCTTGGGGTTTCCCTGGGTCCGGGCCCCACAGAGGAGGGTCCCCAACCCAGGAGAGCCATAACTCAGAAGCCACCCCACACCGGAGATGCTCAAGATAGGGACAGATCTCAGCATCTGCCATCTCCAAGCAGGTGGGACGGGATGGGGACGGCACAGGGGGACACCTGGGGACACCCAGCAGCGTGAGCACAGACCCAGCAAGAAAAAGAGGGGCCCGAAGTGACAACAAACCCCTTACAGTTCCTCCATCCTTCGGTCCCCTGCCTCCCCCGCGGTGCCACCACCCCCTTCCCCAACACCTGGATCCCCTGCGGGGCGAGAAGCAGATTTCTAAAAAGCCATAAGGACAAATCCCTCCGGCGCGGCAGTGAGAGGCTCAGCATCACCATCACCCGTGGATCAGCACCGCACGGCTTGGCGGACGGTTTGGCACAGGATGGGAGGAAATCCCAGGGGTCCCGGCCCCCCAGGACCCGGCGCTGCCATCGGGGGATGCTCTTGGCACGGACCCCGGCGGCTCCTTCCCTGCGAATGGTGCTGAAGTCGATGGCATCAAAGACTTTGGACTGAACGGCATCACTGGGTTGGATGAGGACCTGCCACCCCGAAGGGGACGCTCAGGGCTCGGCACGAAAACGAGCTGCGGCCCCCCCAGGGTGCCCCCATGTTTTGGGTGCCCACCTCGGCCGTGTGCTATTCCACCTCGCCATTGTGCTTGTGCTGGGTGGGGGGCACGGGGGGCTCCTCCTCGTAGGGTGGCAGCTCCTCGATGGACGCTTGGTTGGTGATGCCTGTGGGGTGACAAGGGGACGCTTAGGGGGTCCCAGGGGATGAGCAAAACCCAACTTATTTGGGAGTCACCTCGAATTGGGTTGTCTCTCTCTGTGGGTCACCATCCCACGGGTCACCACCCCATGGGACACCACCAAAGGATGTTTGGTGGCTCTGGTGGCTGTCACCTACCGCTGGCCGCCCTCTCCTTCCACTTCTGCTTGTTCTCCTGGATGTATTTGGTCCAGGTGGAACGGAAGCTGGCCAGGTCAGCCTTGATGTCCCCAAGCTCCAGGTGTTCATCCAGGGATGTCTGTCGCCACTGGGAGCTGTGGGGGCAGAGTCACCAGTTGTCACCCTCACCCTATGCGTCCCCGTAGCCCAAATGCGATGGGTTCCCCCTCAAGGCTGAGCCCCACCGCTCAGGGGAAGGGGAAACCGAGGCGCAACCACACAGCTGAGCCTGGTGGAAAGATGGAGGGTGGCTGCTGGCCCCCCAACCTGGCCTGCTGGCCGCCCGCCGGGTTGCCCTTGGCTTTGGAACCATCCTCGTTTTGGGGCAGCACCATCTTCTCGGCCACGTCGGTCAGCACAGAGAAAGTGGGCTCCACGATGAAGTCAATGAAACCTGCGGTGGGGGGAAAGGGCACGGCGACGTGGGGCGGGGGCTGCGTCACCCCAGGGTTGGGGACGGGGTTGTGGGGGGACGCGACCACCGCTCACCGATCTGGGACTGGGCCACCAGCGTGGAGGTGCGGTCGCAGAGGGGCGAGAAGGGCAGCCCCAGCTCAGCCTCCTTGTCCCCCTGCCGAGAGGCACCAAGTGTCCCCAAAATGTCCCCCTGTGTGGGGGTCCCCACCCCCCCCCTCAGCCCCAGGGGACACAGGGGGGGCCCATACCTGCCTGAAGAACTCCTCCATCAGAGCTTTGGTCCAGCGGCTGTGCACCGTCCACTGCTTGGTGGGGTGGCTGATGTCGGCCGCGTGCAGCAGCAGCGACAGCACCTTGGATTTGTCGATCCTGAGGAGGGCATCTGGGATTCGACCCTGGCCCTAAAACGTGTCCCCTCCCCTGTGCCACGTCCCCAGAACCCGCGCTCACCGCTCCAGCTGCTGCAGTGCCGTCTTCATGGATTTCACCTGCTGGAAGTGGCACGACATGTCGGTGGCCAGGACCATCTCGATGACCAGAGCCCGCAGCTCCCTGTGCCCAGAGGGGACGGCGCTGTCAGGGATCATGGGGACAGCGGGGACAAATGGGGGCAAGGGGGACAACGGGGCGGCGAGGGCAATGGGGCCAACGGGGATGTCAAGGACAATGGGGATAATGAGGACAGTGGGGTCCATGGGGACGGAGAGAGCAATGGGGAAGGTGGGAACAAGGGGGTCAATGGGGATAATGAGGACAGTGGGGTCCATGGGGACGGGAGAGCAATGGGGACGGTGGGAACAAGGGGGTCAATGGGGATAATGAGGACAGTGGGGTCCATGGGCATGGAGAGAGCAATGGGGACGGTGGGAACAAGGGGGTCAATGGGGAGAATGAGGACAGTGGGGTCCATGGGGACGGAGAGAGCAATGGGGACAGTGGGAACAAGGGGGTCAGTGGGGATAATGAGGACAGTGGGGTCCATGGGGACGGAGAGAGCAATGGGGACGGTGGGAACAAGGGGGTCAGTGGGGATAATGAGGACAGTGGGGTCCATGGGGACGGAGAGAGCAATGGGGACAGTGGGAACAAGGGGGTCAATGGGGATAATGAGGACAGTGGGGTCCATGGGGACGGAGAGAGCAATGGGGACAGTGGGAACAAGGGGGTCAGTGGGGATGGCGGGGACAACGGGGACAACGGGATGGGGTGGGGATGGGGACTGACACGAATTCATCCTTGGTGAGGTTGACGAAGATGTTCATCTCGTCGTCCTGCATCATGCGGAAGACGGCGCTGATGTGGTGGTTCTCCAGCACCGAGCGGTCGTTGTAGAGGATGGCACAGTCTGACCTGGGTGGAGGGGACAGTGGGGACACGTGGTGGCACTGCTCAGTGTCCCGCATGGCAGTGTCAGTCTGTGTCCTGACCCTACTGCTGGCCCCATAGCTTCAGAACATCTCTATCCGGGCCATACTGGTGGCCCTGTGGTTCCGGCACATCTGTCCCATGACCACGGGGTGACGAGCAGCACTTCCTTGCCCCAAAGCGTCCCACGTGTCCCTACAACGGGTCCCCTGTTCTGCTCTCTGTGCCACGCCATGCCACGTCCCCATGCCACCCCACATCCCCGTGCCACCCCACATCCCTGTGCCGTGCCACGTCCCCATGCCACCCCACATCCCTGTGCCACCCCACATCCCTGTGCCGTGCCATGTCCCCATGCCACCCCACATCCCTGTGCCATGCCATGTCCCCATGCCATGCCACATCTCCATGCCGTGCCACATCTCCACGCCGTGCCATGTCCCCATGCTGTGCCACATCCCTGTGCCACCCCACATCCCTGCGCCATGCTGTGTCCCCACGCGGTGCCACGTCCCCTTGCCGTCCCCGTCCCCCCCCCCCGTGCTGTGCACGTCCCTCACTTGGTCTGGATGTGGAAGCTGTTGGTGGTGCCCGTGTGCTCGTAGTCGTGGATGGCGGCAGCGAAGATGATGGCCAGGACCTCAATCTCCGTCAGGTAGTGCTGGGGGACATGGGGTGAGGGCTGGAGGGGGGGACACACACCCCAAAAAGGGACAGGGACCAATGCCACCCAGCGAGGGGGCAGGGAGCAGAAGGGCACAGGGTCCTGAGCGCGTGTGCAACCCCACAGCTGTGTGTGTCCCCACGGCAGTGTGTGACCCCACAAAGTGCACGCGACAACCAAGTGGGGGTGACAGCACGAGGTGCCCCCTCCTGCTCCCTCAAACGGGGGTGACCCCGACCCCCTGCATCCTCACAGCATTTCCATGGTGACAAACGAGTCGCTATGCGGTGCCGCCTCCGTGACAACAAGCGTCCCTGGACCAGAAAAGCCCAGGTTACCCCCGTCCCTTTGTGGTCCCCACGCTGTCCCCATACCAGCATGCCAGTGCGGAGCAGGAAGCAGTGGACGGTCTGGGTGACATCAGCAGCGTGCGCCTGTTTGTGGTAGGGGTTGCGGTACTTCCCATAGCCAACCTCCAGCGCGTCCAGCAGCGAGGTGAGGAACACGGCGGGGATCTGCGGGGACACACGCGCGTGTCACGCTCGTGCAAAAGGGAAAAACCCCCGGGGGACGTGGCTGGGGACGGGCTGGGAGCACCTTGAAGCGGCTGTTGAGGTTGTGTCGGGTGAAGAGCTCGTAGACGATGGTGCGCAGGGAGTGCTCCTCCGTCACACGGTGCAGGGCGAAGACGTCGAAACACCACAGGTCAAGGCTCTGGGGGAGGATGGGGGCACATGGAGGGACTCAGTGATGCTCAGAGATGCCCAGAGATGCCCAATAATGCTCAGAGATGCCCAGGATAGCAGGTGATGCTCAGAGATGCTCAGAGATGCTCAGAGATGCCCAGGATGGCAAGTGATGCTCAGAGATGCCCAGAGATGCCCAGAGATGCTCAGAGATGCCCAGGATGGCAGGTGATGCCCAGAGATGCTCAGAGATGCCCAGGATGGCAGGTGATGCTCAGAGATGCTCAGAGATGCTCAGAGATGCCCAGGATGGCAGGTGATGCCCAGAGATGCCCAGAGATGCCCAGAGATGCCCAGGATGGCAGGTGATGCTCAGAGATGCTCAGAGATGCTCAGAGATGCCCAGAGATGCCCAGGATGGCAGGTGATGCCCAGAGATGCCCAGAGATGCCCAGAGATGCCCAGGATGGCAGGTGATGCTCAGAGATGCTCAGAGATGCCCAGCAATGCCCAGAGATGCCCAGGATGGCAGGTGATGCCCAGAGA